TTTAATTGCAAGTAAATTTTTGCTGTTAAACGAGTTTTATATTTTTATGATAGATAACGTGAGAATTGATCGTATGCATCAGTCCACTAGATTTGAAAAACGAGAAAAACAGAACTTTTTTCGATTAAAACGATCATAACTCTTGGCTAATAGGCCATGGGCCTAAATCTTTTTAGGATTTTCTTAGTCTCACTGAGTGCTACTCATAGCCAAAATATGGGATTGAACGGCGTCCGACAGTTGAATATGTCCCCTCGTAAGTCCGTGTGAAAACTTGAACATCCGAAAGAGAGTTCCATGAGGTATCCAAAAATTTCTCAAAAACACTCTTTTCACTGTTTAAAACGGGTAATCCACAATAATTAGAAAGACTCATGCCTCTTTTCAGAGGTACCACTCATGCGTCAGTGCGATGTTTTCCTCATCATCATGTAACAAGATCGGTAATGAATTTACATCCGAAGCAAGCAGATATAAATGACAGAAAACCAGCAGATATGCTATTAAAAATTCTAAGCAACTTGCTAGCCACCTCTTTTGGATAACTTAATTTTGCATTATACCAATGAAGTCTTCAAGCCAAAAGTGAGAAATTCAAACGCTGTTTTTCAATTTTTTTCTTTTATGCAATATTTAGATTTAAAAAAGTTTATCGTTATTGGTTAACCATATTTTACACCAAATGAGGATCGACCATTCATGATGACGAATTGAATAAACTTGTCTTGTTCTTTCTTACAAAACTTTTTGTTTGTTCGAAATTATTCCGTTTCAGATCGAACATATTCAACGAGAATAATAACAACAAAATGGTCCAAGTACTTGATACATATATCAATAAATTAGTACGTATAATTACATATGATGGACGAATTATAATTGGAACATTACATGGATTTGATCAAGCAATAAATATTATCTTAGATGATAGTCATGAACGTGTATTTTCTTCAACAAACGGTGTTGAACAAATTCTTCTTGGTCTTTATATAGTACGTGGTGATAATGCTGCATTAATTGATGAAATAGATGAAGAACTTGATAATAATATTGATTTTTTCAGAATTCGTGCTGATCCATTACAAGCTGCTAAAACATAATTTCTGTATTCTCTTTCTTTCCGTGTATTGTTATTATTATTTTTGTTGTTGTCAGATGATTGTCTGTTAGTATGACATCGAAATATTTCTTTTTTTACTCTTCGTGCCATCGAAGAAAACATACAAAACAATGTCTCATTCGACTTGTCAGTAGAGCAAAAAAAAAGAAGAAAAAACCATTCTTTCAGCTGATACAATTTATAATTAAAAATCAATTTTGATTTTGCAGATGTTATTAAATAAAACACAAAATATTTTAGTTAGTATTATTCTTTTTCGTTTAATCTCTTGGTTTATTGTACGCACATATCTTATTGCTGATGAATATTGACCAACATTTGAGGTAGCTCATTCACTTGCTTTTGGTTATGGTTATAAAACATGGGAACATGGTAATCAAATATTGCTATACGAAGTTATCTTTATCCATTAATAGTTTATCAATAGGGTTTTCAGTGGTTTCCAGTGAAACTCGAGTAGTGACATCATTTATGGGAACATGATTGATAAAAGGATGATTTTTCGATTTAACTATTACGTTTACCACTCTTGTTATTGAGCGAGCACTATCTCCATTTTCATCTATCTCAAAAAGATGTCATGGATTCGTTTAACCAATTTTCCTTCAGATTGTTTTGCTTCTCTGGTCTTTTTCTTTGTTGAAAAGCCACTACCTATCAGCGATCGATATTTTCCACGATCAACGCACGGCTTATATCACTATATGAATCCATTCCGAAATTCACCATCCGAAAGTTTTAAAATGAAAACATTTATTTTGATCGAAGACAATGCATCAGATATTCATCGCGACATGTATTGAGTTTACAGCCATTGTACATGTTATAATCGATATTGATGACCGTTCCTATTGATTAAATGAATTTTCTAACAGACGATTAGTATTAATTGTTTGTAGGTATAAGCAAACGCTATTCTTTGTCTCGTCTCTTTGAAATTAAATATTTTCAACGACAGTCTGATTCCTTCCGT